CACTGAGCCCTGAGGAACTCCATGACTAACTTTGGTGTATGAAGAAGATTTATTATTTACATTTACAAACTGGAATCTATCAGATAGATATGATAAAACAAAAAACAGTTTTCTGAATTATTTCAACACTTCAATGGTTAAAATTGAAGACTTTACACATTGCCTGTTCAAACAATGTGGGGCGAGGCAGTGTGGTGCTCTGGTTCACCTCTGGGGGCGCTGTGTCATATACAATATATGAAGTAGGCAGTTGGTACATGCCCATTGCTGTCTCTCTTTATATCGCTAATATGCATGTTTGATTACACATGTGCTGCTTTCTAATCGGTCGTACTGCACACTGAAAAAGACAAGGTGCAGCAGAATGTACCTTGCCACACCGATAGGGGGCAGTGCTGCCCCATAGATACAATGAAGTAGGTGCTGCTGTGCATTCTTGTTACAGAGGGGCAGCAGAGGTGAAGCAAAAGATACACTCATTTAAATTTGTTTAGACAAAATGGAAGATCATATCTCAAAACTAAAGGCTATTTCTAAACTAGATGAGTCATACATATAAAACAAATGGATTAAAACATAACAATAAATAACATTAAACATGAATGCAATGCAGTTTTTGACACAGCCAAAGTTTAGTTTGTTTTTAAGACATATTGAATCTGGTTACAGATTTTAAATTGACAGGGAATGAGTTCCAAACTGCAGATCCTCTCACAGAGAAAGCACTTTGAGCAAAAGTGGTTCTATGAAAAGGAACCTTACAGTCGCCATTTAAAGCCGCTCTGGTAGATCTGCCGTAGCCCTGCAGTTTCTGTACAATTCCTTAATGGTTTGGGTGCAAGTTCATTTAAGCATTTGATGATCCATCCATCCATCCATCCATCATCTTTTACCCGCTTCTTCCATTTTGAGTCACGGGGGTCGCTGGTGCCCATGTCCGGCAATCATTGTGCGAGGGGCGGGGTACACCCTGGACAGGTCGCAAGTCCATCACAGGGACACATAGAGACAAATGAGACAAACAACCATTCACTCTCTCACCTAGAGATAATTTAGAGTTACCAATCAGCCTAACATGCATGTTTTTGGTCTGTGGGAGGAAACCGGAGTACCCGGAGAAAACCCACGCATGCACAGAGAACATGCAAACTCCACCCAGAAGAGCCCCCGGACCAGGATTTGAACCAGGGACCTGCTTGCTGAGAGGCAGCAGCTCTACCAGTTGCGCCACCGTGCTGCCCACATTTGACAATCAATTTTTAAAAATTGTAATATATAAAATTGGAAAATTCTAGAATACCAAACTTAGCTAAAATATTACAGTGATGAAATCTGATTGGCTTTTGGTATAAAACCTTCAAGGCCCATTTGTAGAGACTTTCCAATGGTTTAAGTGTAGTTTGGTGAGCCTGTCACCAGACAGTAGCTCCATAAGACAGATGTGAAATAAACATTGAGTTGAAGAACATCTCTGTACACTGAAGTGTCAAACATTTTCTAATTATTTTAAAACAATTCATGTTGAAATATAAGCTTCTATTTGTGGTTCGTATATATGAGGTTCATATAATGCTAACAATGCTCTGCAGGAGCTTCATGATCTCTTCAGCTCGCTACAAAGCATACACCTTGAGGTTCTTTACATAGTGGCTGGAGACTTTAATCATGTGAATCTAAAATACTGTCTCCCAAGATTTTACCAACACGTGGGAACAACACGCTGGACCGTGTTTACACGAACATAAAAAGCACATACAAAAGCTAAACCCGCCTCCACCTAGGACTATCTGATGACATCTCAATCTTCCTGGTCCCTGTTTACTTGCCCCCGCTGAGA